GATCAGAAGTTGTTCAAAAGAGCAAAGCTCCAGAATTGTTATTTTAGAGTGTGTACGGTCTGCACTGAGGTAGGCTATGACATATCAGACTTTAGATTGAGCTTGTGAATGTGGATTCATGGTGATTAACTATAATTGGGTTGGGTTTGTAGTTGATTCGTGTTTAGTAATAGGAATTCATGTTTTAGGCCTCATTTTCGGGTTTTCAGGAGTTCAAGCATACATATTACTGTTGTGTGGTTATGTCTTACCTTGTAGATTCCATAATGTTGCTCATGTTGTTATGCTTGATTTTGGCATTAGCCTACGTGTAAGATAGTGATTGCCTTAGACTTGCGTTTTGGAGTCGGTAGGCCTTAAAAATTCTCTGACATCGCTATAGATGACTTAGCTTCATGTAGACTAATATAGCAAACTTGAATCTGATAGTATGATCATTATCTAAGAGACAACTTAGCTCATATGACTATTCATTCATAATCTCCCTTGTGTTTCAACTCGGATGGGTTTGTTGGTACTTCCATCAATCATTTGATTGTTTGGGATCAAGTCTTGGATTTGGAATTTGAGTGGTCCTGTAACACCCCGAAATTTTTTACATGTAATACCGGGTGATTCTTAAATTGCTCATATGTGTTAAGGTCAATTTTGTAGTGTAGAATGAATTTGGATATGAATTAAGGTCACTAGAATCCCCTAGCACAAAGTTGAGTTGAAAGCTTCCATACCGATTAGGTTTTGATGTAAGATTCTACTTGGGTCAACTTCAAATAATCATGTCTCTTAGAAAATAAAGAGTTACGTGACCCATAACCTATCAAATTAAAGGTATTTGAATCTTATTCCAACACCACCAGTTTTGCGTCAACATGAGTTTCGAGTAGAAAGTAATAACCATTTTAGTAACCTGAGACAGTGCAGTGACGAATTAACCGACGGGAAAACATTAAAAAGAGTTGTTTTTTATATTTTTACCTCTAAGAAAACCCTAAACGAATTTCTTGACTAATTAAAGGCCCAAAATAATCAGATTTTCATCTCTTAATCCCTCATTCTCTTCTCTCTCAAACCCTAAGGCAAAACCCTAAGGAAAAATCAAAGCGTAGGATTTCCATTCAAGATTCTTCCAATCTTTTTTCAAGATTCTTCTTCAAGGTAAGTCATTCTCAAAGAATTTCATTCTTTCCATCTCAAATTTTTTCAATAAAAAACACTTTTCAAATGAATTAGCCAAACACAAATTTCTTTATTTCCAAAGCACTTTTTTGAAAGCTATTTTAAAAAAAAGTGCTTATGAAAATAAGCAGTTTTTAGCAATAATGCCAAATAGGAAAAACGGCTTACTTTTAGAAGCACTTTTTTAAAATGACTTTTCAGAAAAGTGTTTTTGAAAAAATAATAATTTGTTTTCGGTTAATTCATTTGAAAAGTGTTTTTCATAAGCAAATTGCGTTTTGCTAATCTTTTTAAAAGAGTCTTTTTAAGAGTCAAATTATGAAAAAAGACAACTATTAATGTACTTTTAATATTAAGATTATTTTATATAGAGAAACTATTTTAAATATCTATTATAAAATAGTTAATTAAACTTTTATTTTTATTAAATTAAAATGTACATATTTAAATATTCAATCAATATTACACCTTTTTCTTTTGGAGGATTGAAATCTTTAATTGCTATTTTTTCTCTCTTTTTACTAACCTTACAAACATATTGTTATTTTTTTTTTTCTAATTCTGTAAAAATTATACGTAAAATAATATGTAAGATATAAAATACTAATATATAAATATAAAATAAAATATAAATTTATTATATATAAATAAAAAATAAAATTCTTAAATGAAATTTAACCAAACTGAATGTGTTAATTAATTAATAAGAGATATATTGGTAAATATGTATATATGAAAGAGATATTTTAGTCTCGAGAAAGATAATTTTTTGTTGGGAAAAGAGTCTGATATACCCCTCAACTTTGTCATTTAGAGCTGATATACCCCTCGTTATGAAAGTGGCACATACATACCCCTACTTATATACAAATGGCTCACATATACCCTTTTCCTCTAACGGAAATGAAAAAAATCAATTTTCGTTGATTTTTTTTTTTTTTTTTAAATAATATATAATCCCATATGAGTATATTTAATCCTACTCAAACATTTTATTTTTTTTGACTTTTTTTTTTGTTTCAATGACTAATTTAGATTTATTATTGTGATAGTCAAATTTATTTATGTTTCACTAATATTCTTGTAAAACTTATTATAGATGACCAAATTTGTTTCTTCAAATACAAAAATTAAATTATAATATAGACAAAAAAAAATAGTTTTAAATTATAATATAGCCACAAAAAAATAGTTTTAAATTTTTTTCTTTACACTAAGGAATGAAAGAAAAAATAAAATATGAATAAGAAACTCAAATAATTATAATCAAAGAAATCAAAAAATAATTTATGTATGAAAAAGATTAAAATATACTTTGAACTTTGCTAGAAGAATCATATATACCCCTAAATAATTTTTGAGAAAATTAAAAGTAAAAAATATAAATTTAAAACTAATTTTTTCACTTCCGTTAAATGAAGGGTATATTAGCTTCTTCTCAACATTAGAAAAATTGCTTCTGCTTCTATTTAAAAACATTTTTATTGATTTGTCAAACACATAATTTTTCAACAAAAGTATTTTTTTTTTATCAAAATAAGTGCGGCCAAAAGGACCCTATCAACGACCACCAAGCCATCTCTCAAGCCATAGAAATATAGTTTGATCATCAGCAACCAAACCAATACAAAGGCGCAGAAAACCACTACAAAGGTCAAATGGGAACCTCCTCAATTGGGAACCTACAAACTGAACGTTGATGCCTCCGTGAAGCAAAGTCCGGGCCCTAGGGTATAAGAGGTCTAGTTAGAAATCACTTGGGCCACTGAATCATTGGCTTTAGTGAGCACACCCCCCACACAAATTCTGTTAGAGCTTAACTGCTGGCTATGAGGAGAGGCCTCCAAATAGCTATAAGCCATGGCTTTACTCCCCTTGAAATCAACTCTGACTCTATTAAGACTATTCATATGCATACAAATCAGAATATTAACATGATGTATGATAACGTTGTTGTTGAGTGCAAATGCTTGATGCTGAAGCTGGAAATCACCAAAGTGACCCAGGTGTTTCGGGAGCAAAATAGAGTAGCAGACAAATTGGCAAAGGAGGGGACGAAAGTGGCAATTTTTGACGAACCAAACATTTTGCTAGTTCCTCCAATGTATCCCCAAAGGGAGGTAGAAGCAGACATTCTAGGAACTATGTATACTAGATTAACAAACAATATTCCTAGCATTTTTCAGGGTCGGGATGTGACCCAACTTAATCGAAACGGGCATCATGCTGCGGCGGATGCACCGATACATTGCCCCTCCTAATTATTATTAATATATTAACTCTTTCCTGACCAAAAAAGAAAAACAAACTTTTCACTTGATTGAATAATGCCAATTAGAATATCAATTTTTTTACATTTATAATATTTCGTATTACTTTTAGTTACAAATAATCAATATTATAGTGATTGTTACTTTTAGAAGATATTCAAAGTTAAGACTATTTTTTTAAATTTAATTACTTGATAATCTAATTAGTTTGAGCTTGAAATGTTTAATAATTCATCTCAAACAACTAAAGACAATCTCATAGAGTCAATTAAAATATGATTGATTCAAATTGAAGTCAAGACAAATTAAGAAATAGAAAATAATTATAAATTTAATTATCTACAAATTTTAATTATAATTACATCAATAATAAAAATTTAAAAATATGTACATAACAGTTGTAGTAAGAAATTACCAACACACTATTATTTTTCAAAAGTTAATAGTAACAAGGGAAAAGGGTCAAAAATGCCCTTTAACTATGTGAAAGGAACAAAAATGCCCCCCGTTTATAGTTTGGCTCAAAAATGCCCTTACCGTCAATACTTTGGTCCAGAAATGCCCCTATAGTTACAAAATGGCTCAAAAATGCCCTTTTCCGAATAAATATTTTTTTTTCTTTTTAAACACACCTTCTTCCTAATTAAAATATTATTAAAGAACACTATTCTTGTTTTCTTTTTTGTAAAATCACTTTAACAAATAAAAATGTAGGAAATATTTTTTTTCTTCTTAATCTCATTATATCAATTAAAATAGAATAACTTCATGTACCATTTGGACATATAATATAGGGAAAAGGGTCAAAAGAATGGTGCAGTGCTGACACCAATCCACATATTGCAGTGCTGCCTTTGCACCCTGATCTCCGAGCCAAGTTTAACGAGACTGCTGCTTGGGATTATGCACGAAGCATGGCAGGAAAATCTTATGGTTACCACAACCTAATATTTAGCTGGATAGACACAATTGATGGAAATTACCCACCACCCGTGGATGCTCATCTGGTAGTGCATGCTATTTTTGTCTTGCCATTTTTTTGTTTGACCTATTATCTTGAAGGTGGTCCATACATACCCTTACTTAGTAAATCCTCTAGTTTGCGAGTATAGTCATCTCTGCTTAGGCTAACTATGTCCTATCAAAAAATAAAAAAGATAATCACAACAAACAACTAACTTATATGTCCAAATGGTACATGAAGTTATTCTATTTTAATTGATATAATGAGATTAAGAAGAAAAAAAATATTTCCTACATTTTTATTTGTTAAAGTGATTTTACAAAAAAGAAAACAAGAATAGTGTTCTTTAATAATATTTTAATTAGGAAGAAGGTGTGTTTAAAAAGAAAAAAAAATATTTATTCGGAAAAGGGCATTTTTGAGCCATTTTGTAACTATAGGGGCATTTCTGGACCAAAGTATTGACGGTAAGGGCATTTTTGAGCCAAACTATAAACGGGGGGCATTTTTGTTTCTTTTGCATAGTTAAAGGGCATTTTTGACCCTTTTCCCTAGTAACAATAAAGTACATAGTCTATTATATTCTAGTTAGGGTATTTTGTTTCTTCAAGTGTGCTATTGGTTAATACTGTGCTTCTCACCATTAACGTTTTACGTCGCCTCCATCAGACCTGGTTGTCTCTTTTTATGTATGTATCTCCTTCATCTTGCTCACTGGTTTTGGTTCTTCCTTTAATCTTGCCTCTTGCTCGAATTTAGTTCTTTTTTGTGCATTCTTCGGTATGTTTTCGTATTTGAGCTTTCCTTTATTGAACTGAATTTGGGAGGGTTTTTGGTTCTTTGGAGGATTTGTAATTTGGAGGGGTCTTATATTTTTGGGCCTGAAGTAGCTTTAGTGTTGAGCCGTCCTTGGATGGTTGTAAGTTTGTTATACATTGTTTCCTAATATATTGATAGAAGTTTGGTGTTGCATGAATGAATATTAAATTTTTGTCTCTTGGTAAGTGTTTACTTGAACTAAATTTGGACAAGGTGTTCAGTATTACTATAGATAATGCTTTTTAAAAATAATGTCATGGTTAAACAATTAGAGATGTGGGAAACTAATATGATGGGTTGTATGCATCTTCATTTGAGCTGTATGACTCTCATACTTAATCTTACAGTTCAAGAAGGTTTGAAAGAAATTGGTTCTTTTGTCAAATCTGTTAGGCAATAGGTCATGTATGTTGCATCATCTCCTACAAAGACAAGAAAATTTAAGGATTATTGTGAACATGAAAAGATAGATTGTGATAAATCATTATCTTTGGATGTTCTACTAGGCGGAATTACACCTACTTAATGTTGGATTTAACACAAAACATTGAGAAGGCGTTTGATAGATTTGTTCTTCACTCATATTTGTGAAGATGGTAGTTTTGCAGGTCTAATTGAATGTGATGATTGGGTGAATGTGAGGTGGGGTTTTACCTAGTAGGAACATTCTAATAGAAAACCAAGAAAGTGCAAATAAAAAAAGAAGATAAAACTTATTAGTCACCTTACTCTGGAAGTTATTGCCCATAAACCCTTCAAACTCTACAAGACAATAAAACTAGTGGAAAGAGTCAACAAGCTGAACAACAATGCGACGAGTACTTCGTCAAATCCTCAACTGCATATTAAGGTTGTCTTCATGTGTGTGTGTTTGTTAGCAGGATTTGAACAGTTATGACGTTCATTCAAATGCTTTGTTGATTTTCATTTTTTTTTAATTAGAGGATTAATTAGATGGGCAAGCTAGGGAAGAAAGCAAGGAAGTTTGCCAAGAAGAATCTTCCGTCAGTGCTTCGAGATCGCCGAAAGAAGAAAGCTTTATTCAAAAAGAGATATTCATCCAGTAAATATTTCTCTCTCTCTCTCTCTCTCTCTGTGTCTTCTTGATTACCTTACATTAGTTTATCTTTAGTTTTCATTGCTATATTTTTTTTAGATTTAGAGGTTTTTATTTTGCAAGAAATGTCACAAGACTAAAATATGTGTAAGCCATTGTTTTAGAGGCTTAAATTGGGCACACTTCGAATGGTATGTATTTACATCACAACTTTTGTATTTGATAGATAGATGAGAGTAATTGGGAAAGAAGAAGAATAGTGATGGGGTTGTTCAGTCTGCTGCAATACAACTTATTTTCCCTGATTGCTCTTATTTAATTGAAAGAGTTACTTAAAGAATAATATTCTGATATTCCAAGTAAAGGATTTTTCAAGTTTGCACAAGTACTCCAGAAACTTATATTCCTTTAAACTGAGTAGTGAGTGTGGAGGTGCAATCCCATCTTGAAAAGGTCTAGTTCTTATAGGGAACTCATGGGTGTGCGAAAGGTAACAGGAAAGATTACACAAATGGTGAGAGTTCTGTTTTATCATTGGCTGTAACTTATTTGTTTTTTATGTACTTATGTCAAAAGCTTTACCAGATGGATCAAGTTTGCTTCTCTGTTTTGACTTCCCTGGACATCTTGCCACTATTTTTTATTGTGCAAGTACATTTATTGAGATTAGACATTCATATGAATATCTTTATGACCTTGAGTTCTTTAATTATTGTAGAAAATGTGCAGAGTAATGTTGAAGACCAAGCCAAATTAATAGATCACTCAAATGAAAGGTGAATTTAGTTCATATTTTAAAGTTGGATACAAGCTGTTTTCTTCTAAGGCTGGATATTTTTGTCCTCTTATGCTATTTCATCTTCTACTTGTGGCTTCACTTATTCTAAAATTGAAAACTGATGCTAACCAGTTACCACTTTTAGATTTGTAGTAAATGTTGGACTTAATTGTCCAATATAGGTGAAACAGGGAGGGGATTGTTTTTCCTGCAATGGCATACAGTAAAAGAGCTGAGATATGAGAAGAATCTGAAACTCGGGGAAGGTCCTGGGCCACAAATAAAGTAGAACCAAATGCTGTAAATCTATTTTTTCAGCTAGATAGGTCACATCGATTATAAAGACTAATATCTTTCGGTGATATAGTCTGATGTCATCAAACTGAAAACTCCTTACATCAATTGATTTCATTGGACCTCTCATTGCAATTGAACGCCTCATGTTTTTGTAGACCGATCATTTGTACTAAAAGCTAGGTGACTAGTAAATCTAGTTAGATAGTGACAATATTCTCAACCTAGAAGATTGTAATTTCTCTTGGACGATGTGTCTAGTCAAAATTACTAGTTCTGTTGACTATGCTTAGGTTGCCGCATTCTCAGAGTTAGTTTACTCATTTCCAGTGCCTATCCTTTCCTCAATAAGCTAAACGTCTTTTGCAGCATAAGGTCCACGAAGCCTAAAGCTATGCTCATGTTTCTTTCGGGAAGAACTCTTCATTTTCTCTATCGTTACTTTCTCTCTGTAGTAGAAGCTACTATCCAAGACTTGCAAGGGATGTTTAAGTAAAGGAAAAGATGTTGTTTTGGGGGACACACACAATGTTTCTTGCATCAAACTCACAGTCTCTCAAGATATGGAATTGTAAAATCTAAGTTTCTCGCGATGTGTTTCAACTTGTGGCTTTGCCTATCTTCATTACTTCAATTTTTCAGCATTTGACCCCTTGATATCATCAAAAAAGGTCTGTTCAACCCAGTGTTGTCAAAGAAAAAAAGCTTTAGAAGTGCTCGAGGTCTATTGGGGATTTAAGCATGACCACAATGGAAGTGTTGGTGTTAGTAAAAGAAGGTACTGTGAAGAAAAAGAAATAAAATCTATATATCGTGCAAGAAACTAACAGATTCTTCATAATGTCTTACTAAGCAATTAATGTGTCTCTTTGCTGAGGTTGTCAAACAAATAGATCTCTTTGCCGATTAAATTTGTTGTTTAGTACTGCTCGATTTAAGATAGCATTCTTGGGTAATAAGGCACACATCTTAGTGCCTTGCCTACGCTGAGGCACAACTTAAATGAGGCAAGGCACCATCCCTGAGCTTTTCTGAGCTTCAGTGCATAAAATGAGCTTTTAACAGCACTGTTTCATCCCTTGTAAAAAAAAAAAGGTCTGTTCATCCCTTGTATGCTGGAACTTTTGTTCCTGGTGTTTCTATCTTGTCACATAAATCACATAGTTATTGACTAGTCATAAGTTTTTCAGAAACACTGAAGTTGAAGCTTTTGAAGACTTGCCTCTTGAGGCACCATTCATAGAGAATGACTGTGATGGTGTTGTCGATTCTTCAGACAGTGATGGATATCTTTCGGAGGTCTCAATCTTCAATTTAGCAATCATCTGTACTTCAATGTCAACTTTTTGCTTTATCTAAACTTTTTATGTCCATGTTTCAGGATATAAGCTATGAAAATGAAACAGAAAGTGAACCTGGGAAACTTTTAGAAGGTCCATCATCTGACTTAACTGGGATTATCTTGGTCTTCTGTTCCTCATCTTAACATCCCTTGTATTATTTACTTATTTCCAATTTTTCTCCTTTCAAATGCACAAATCCTCTAATTCATTAATGGATGTGCAGGTGACAAATGTACTAGTGAATTGATGATGCAGAATATAAAAATTCAGGAAAATCTTGCTGTACAAAAGAGAAAGCTGGAAAGGTTGAAGAGGAAGGTAGGTTGCTTTTGCTAATTAAATCTTTTGTCTTTCAAGAGTTCAAAAGATGAACCTTGTGGATTTACAGAAAAAGTCTTATGATATTGTAGACAACCAAGGTGGCCTTGGCCTGAGAAACCTAAAACAACCAAAATAATTGCTTACTACCAAAATGGTTATGGAGATTCTGTACTGAAGAGGAAGCCCTATGGAGAACGTTCACAACAGGGAAATATGGCTTGCTTATCCAATGGACTACTGAGGAGGTGTGGGGTCTTTTGGATGTAGTGTGTGGAAGATCATTCGAAGGTTGGGGCCAGATTTCAACAACAATAAACAATATCTATGTCAGTGTGGGTTTTTAGAATAGGAATAGGTTTATACAAGCCTATTAGAATAGGAATAGGTTTACAAAATCCTATTTAGAATAGGAATAGGAATAGGAATAGTAAATAGTATCCTACTTGGTAAAGAATTGTATTCTAGTGTCTATAAATAGGATCTCGATGTAATAATGTAGACACGACACCAATTCAATAATATTTTTCTCATATATTTCTCACATGGTATCAGAGTCTCTACGATCTTGGTAGAAAATCAAAGAGCTTGCGCTGCCGGCGGGCGGCTATTTCTCATATATGTCGCCCGTCTGACCAATGATTATGTTAACAAAAGTAGGATCAATGATATATGAACATATTCAAGGGAAGAAAACTCAATCAGACAGGTCACCGTGCGTCAATTTCCGGTGACTTTCAAGGGCTGTTTTGTGTCAACCCCATATCCGTCGGTATTTGTGTAGCACCGTGTCATCTTTCCGGTGACTACTTTTTCATATTCAATTTATGTAGCACCGTGCTATTTTTTCGGTGACTACTTTCTCATATCTAATTTGTGTAGCACCGTGCCATCTTACCGGTGACTACTTTTTCATATTTAATTTGTGTAGCACCGTGCCATCCTTCCGGTGACTACCTTTTTTTTGCATATTTGATTTGCGTAGCACCGTTCATCTCTCCAGACTACTTTTCATATTCAATTTGCGTAGTACCATGGATTTTTTCGAACTACTTTCTCATATCTGAGTTGGCATAGCACCGTGTGTCTTTTCGGTGACTCCTCAGATTTGATTTGCATAGTTCCATTCGTCTTTCCGGTGACTCCTCAAATCTGATTTGCGTAGGGTTCTGCCATCATTCCAACCCTACCTGTATAATTTCTCTTTTTCAGTAGGGTCGTGCCATCATTCCGACCCTACCCATATTATTTCTCTTTTTCAATGGGGTCGTTCCATCAATTCGAACTATCCTATATAATTTCTATTCTTGTTGGGTCGTGTCATCATTCCAACCCTACCCATATAATTTTATTTCTTAGATTGTGAGCACTTCCAGCCATCAAATCTAATACTCCGGCATATAAGCATGTTCCGACCAATTTTTTTTTTTTTTATAACTGAGAAATCCGTCTGTGACCCGCCCTTTGGACCAATCACAGCCTTCTAAATTGTTCCGATCAATTTTTCGGTGACTTTCTTGTTTAATATCGACTCATCTATTGATCCCAACACAATCCATATACTTTATACTAGATTTTGAGCACTTTGTTGCTCGGGGGGAGTTTAGTAGCCTTGTATGTCGATTATGTGAGTCACTTTATGGTTTGAAACAGTCTTTGCAAATTTGGCTTGGGAAGTTCAACACTGTGATTTTATCACTATGTGTTTTATCGGCATTATGCATCAGATTCAGTATCATGAGAAGATTAAGCACATTGAGATTGACTGACATTATGCATCAAATCCAATATTTAATGAGAAGACAAGCACATTGAGATTGACTGTCAATTTTGTGAAGTCGACTGATCAACTTGCAGATATCTCACCAAGCTCCTTATTGGTTCTTGTATTAATTACATATGTAACAAGCTAGGTACATGAATTGTATGCACTAGCTTGAGGGGGAGTTTTAGAATAGGAATATGTTTATACAATCCTATTAGAATAGGAATAGGTTTACACCATCCTATTTAGAATAGGAATATGAGTACAAATAGGAATAGGAATAGTAAATAGTATCCTACTTAGTAAAGAATTGTATTCTAGTGTCTATAAATAGGATCTCGATGTAATAATGTAGACACGACACCAATTCAATAATATTTTTCTCGTAATGGCCTGAAAATAGATTTTTGGAATGAAATTTGGAGTGAGGATGATAGCCTGAGGAGCTTATTTCCACACCTCTATACTTTGAGTCTTCGAAGATCTGCTACTATTGCCCAAGTATGGTGCCAACAAGGGTGTAACTTAGTGTTTAGGAGGGCTTTGAATGACTGGGAAATTGAAGATATGGTCAGGTTACTGAAGGTGCTAAATACCACATCCAATATATCTCAAAGAAAGGACAAACCAATTTGGAGATTGCATAGCAAAGGAGTGTTCATAGTTAAATTTTGCTTTTGGAAGATGAATGTCAATCAATCATTGTCAGATAATTGGCCTTGGAAACAAGTGTGGAAGACTAGAAGCCCATTGAAAGTTTCATATTTTACTTGGCTAGTCATAAGAAAGGCCTGCCTTAGCCATGAGGCATTAAAAAAAAAGGGTATGTAGTTTTGTTCAAAGTGTTTTATGTATGAGCAGAAAACAGAGGTAAATAACCATCTGTTTATTTTTTTTGACGACAAGGGAAACCCACAACCGCTATCCTTTGGGTGCGCACAGGGTTAAACCCCTGCTCCTATGCAATAGCTCGCAAACCACATAGGAGAGGTAACCCGCACTAGGCAAGCCCGATGCGACGAGCTCGACCCAGAAGGCAAACCCCTTGCTTTCGCTGGCAAGGGGTTTCGAACTTGAGACCTCCAACATGGAAGTCCATCTGTTTATTCACTGTAAAGCAGCCTCAAATCTGTGGAATATGTTTTTGTGTATATTAGGGTTAGCTGAGTGATACCAACGACAACCAGGGAGCTCCTTAGCAGCTCGATAGGAATTGGCAACAGAGGGAGAAAGGAAGACTGGTGGAAGACTATACCAGCCTGTATATGGTGGACTCTATAGAAAGAAAGGAATGATAGATGTTTTGAAGGACAAAAAGAAAGTTTTTAGTAGATCAAAATGAAATGCTCAAGTCTTTTGTTTTTTTGGTGTAAACAAGAATTGGTAGGGAAAATCATAGAAATAGTTGATTTTACAGGAAAATTGTAATTTTGTATATCTTTTTGAGGGTGTGCACATCACCCCGTTGGATGTAAGTTTCCAATCATCTCTTGGATGATGAATTTTTTATGGATACAAAGTTACCCTTGTCTCAAAAAGTATATAAGGGATAAAAGACCTGGGTTACTATGTAAACTTGATATTGAGATAGCCTATGACTGTATATTCAGGATGTTTGCTTAACATGTTACAACAATGGGAATTAATTATAAATGGGTTAACTGAATCAGTCTTGTAACATTAGAATGATGTGGAAGACAAATGTAGATAGGCTTTTTCATTACGAAATCTTGCTACCAAGTTCGAACTAGGAGTTCCCTGTTTCCTTTTTTGAACCCTTGGAAACAAATATGGAAGTCAAGAGAAGCATGTCTTACCCAAGAATCAAGATAATCTGCAAAGGAGGGGCAGCCTGTTGTGTAACAAACGTTATATGTATGTGTAATAACAACACGAAGTCAATCAACCCTCTATTTTTACATTGTTTTGTTGCAACACAGATATGAAATGTTTTACAGTATTTTGGGCATGAACTGAGTGATGCCAAAATCAACCACAAATTGACTAGATTGTTGGAGCATGAAATATGTGAAAGGGTCTTTGAAGAATAGATGGAATACAATTCCATCTATATGTGGGAGAGGCAGGGAACTAGCTTCCTCCCTTCCCTCTTCTCCTTATTAGTAGTATTATCAAGTAATCACATAGTTCCTTATTCTTCAATGTGTTATACTATCTGATGTTTCATTTTCTTTATATCGTGCTGTTATGTTGTCATACTTTTTTTGTAACCTGTTTCAAAATTTCTTCTTTGAGCCCAGGGTTTATTGGAAACAACCTCTCTACCCCACAAAGGTAGGGATAAGGTCTACTTACACCCCACCCTCCCTAGACCCCACTTGTGGGATTATATTGGGTATGGTAGTTGGGTCAATATGGATTTTGTAAATGAAGTGGAAACCTTGTTATGGGTATAGATAGCTTACAATAGATGGTACAAGGCTTTTCTCGTATTTTTTTTTGTAATATACCCTAGCACAAACTTTATGATATATCAATAGAACTATTCTTTTCCCTGAAAAAATACAAGTAGCTTCATGTTTTTCCAGTAATGTGCTTTGGAGGGCATTGTACATGTAGTATGAGTTCCTTCTACTTGATTGCTGGCTGAACTCCGTTTCTTATATTTGTTGAAGGATAGAGCCATAGAGGTTGTACAGCACTTATTTGTTGATATAAAGGGTGAATGCTCTTACACATCTAAGTTGTTCATTGTCCTTTGAATTTTTTCAGGATCCAAGTTTCTCTAAGTTTTTAGAAAAGCACAAGGACATTGAAGCAATGCAAAATGGAGTAGTGGTAAGTGATTTCAAGATGTTTACCTTTAAACTGTTGTTTGCAAGTTTTATTGGTTGGTAGTGAATGTTGTCTTCCAACAGTGAAGTGTTCATGGTCTAGCTCATATTTCGGATCGAATCTGTTCATGTCAACCTCAGGGAGAAGCCTTAAAATTCGTGAAATTTAGGGGAAAACAGAACTTTTTAGTGATATTTCAAAAATGTCTATGCTGTTCTCTACACTCTACTTTCCTAACTTCCAACGAGCTAATAAAGGTTAATAATTCTTTTTAGTGAAATAAAAGTAAATTTTATAGATATTCTTTGAGATTGGTCCTATTAAGTATTGGTTTTAGATTTGTTTTTACCGTTTTTCTTTGGAATGGAATGTGAACATAATTTCAGTAATAAAATGTTAAAAAGGTTGAACTCATCATATTTAAAGCAAGGATCTACCTCGATTAACGTGTTTGTAAGAATGATTTTGGTACAGATACTTGATTGCTGATTTTTTTAAATGTCGAGACTGCTTGTACAAAATCGAGCATGCACCCTTGACTTGACTTGCAGTTTAAGATGTTAATTTGACTTTCTATTAATATTGATGGTGGATGAGTATATTAAATAGTTTCATTTTCAAAAGAATAAATAATACTTAAATAGTTCGGTTGGTTTTTAAACATTGGAATAACATGCAAGTGTTATGATTTTCCAAAAGTGAGGGCCGATGGGAACTTCTGATTGCATTATGAAGAATATCTTGAAAATTACTATTTGACTGGAGGCAAGTTTTAATGGTTTTGACGGCAATGCAAAAACATTATTTGAAAGAAGAGATAATATTTGCTGCTTCCGAATGTCCTAGCAGCTCATGATTTAAGGGATATAGAAAATGATAGAAATCAGAATTTAATGTAGATTACGGCGATAGAGATGAATCAGAGGCAATTTAGGCTTCTTGTTTATCTAAACAAGAGCATCAGTCGGAATATTCAGGGGTTGAGTGGTATGCAAAAGACATAGGTGATAGGGCTAAAAAGTTACTGACACGTAGATGGAGAACCAACACCTATTGTTTGACTTAAAACAGATTATTCGGGTCTTCATTTGGAGCGTAGTATTTGGCGAAATAGGTTGATTGACTTAGCCTTTTTACAGTAAGAAGGGAACAATGGAGGAATTGTAATGTTATTGGTACAAAAGGGATTAGGCCCTTTTAAGGAGACTATTTAGGGTGTACATTCAGTTTCATTGCTGGATAGTTTCAGTGTTATCCAACAAAATAGTGAGTTGTACTTCAACATTCATGGAAGTATATGGCCCAACTAGAGGAATAGGAGGGAACTTGCAGCTAGAGCTTTCAGTACTGAATTGCTATTGGGATTAGCCTTGAGGAATAGGAGGTGATCTTAATGTAAGAAGATATGAAGAAGGAAGAAATGTACACGATAGACAATCCATGGTTATTAGGGACTTCTAAAGTCTTATTGAGGATTTGGAATTAGAACTCTCCTTTACATGGGGGTAAATTTACTGGTGTCTAAGGGAATGATCCAAGAAGAACATCTTGACTAGACGGATTATTACTTACAAATGAGTGGGATGATAAGTTCAAGTTTATTATTCCTACTTTTGATTGACGGGGTTTTTGAGGATTCTTATAACTCACGCCAACTAACTTGGTGTTGAGTAGTAACCATTGGTGTAATTGCTTTCGTTATATACCATCTCAAAATTCATAATAAGTAATAACTGGCTGTACAATCTACCTTTGGGTCCGCTTGCTTTAAAATGTTATGCAGTACCAACTTTAAACTTAATGTGTGCTTGGATAAGCTTAGACCAATCAGAATAAAGAGGGTATACAAGATATCTTCTTTCTTCCCCTGAACTCATGGACCCTCTTTGCCTAAAAAAATTAATTGGATAATTTTGAACACTCAATATTCCAGGCATGTATGTCACATAGTCATCCAATTTTTTTTGAGGATTCTTATAACTCACGCCAACTAACTTGGTGTTGAGTAGTAACTATTGGTGTTATTGCTTTCGTTATATACCATCTCAAAATTCATAATAAGTAATAACTGGCTGTACAATCTACCTTTGGGTCCGCTTGCTTTAAAATGTTATGCAGTACCAACTTCAAACTTAATGTGTGCTTGGATAAGCTTAGACCAATCAGAATAAAAAGAGTATTACAAGATATCTTCTTTCTTCCCCTTAACTCATGGATCCTCTTTGCCTAAAAAAATTAATTGGATAATTTTGAACACTCAATATTCCAGGCATGTATGTCACATAGTCATTCATATTTGTTGGTGAAATTTTTTAGGTGGAACACATTGACAAACCCTTAAACTTGCAAGTAAATTTCATTTAGATACTTGAATTACGCCTTGTTTCTATTTCGCACTTGAACATGATAAAATGTTTCTATTAGACATTTCTGGCTCAAATTAGGAAAATTTATGCACGTGTTGTCGTTTTCTCTAACGCCTCAAATGCCCATTATGTAGATAAGCTAACCACTTAAAAATGTCACCTCTTTTAATTATACTCATTAGCCTCATACGCTATAAAACCTTGCGCCTGTTACGATTGAGGCTGATGTGTATAATTAAAGGTGGTGACATATTTTATGTGGTTGAGTTATCTATGTAGTAGGCACTTAAGAACATGCACAATTATTTTTTCATAATTTGAGCTGAAAGTGTCTAATAGGAATGCTTTATCATATGTTCAGGTGCTCAATTGAACATGCCTTATTTTGCGTGTCTATATTTAATTTACTGTCAAGTTTAAGGGCTGTCAATGTATTCTGCCAAAATATCTGTTGGGCATGCGCTGAATTGCGGACACATATTTTGGATTGCCTGGCCTTACATCTCTTTCTTCTTATGTGTTTTGTCTTTCTACTAATAGGATCGCAAAATGGAAACCTCATGATTTCCCTTTAGAGCTAGTTGTATAATTGTATCTTGATTACTCTTGAGATATCAAAGTATTTTGCTTCTGATTAACTTTGTGGCAGTTCTCAGATGAGGATGAGATGAGTAATCATGGAAGGGACTCGGTGACTGAAGACAATCAAGGTAAAAACAAGGGAAGAGTTTTGACAGTATCTGCCATTAGTTCTTGGTGTCGACTGATCAAAGAAGAGCATAAGGAGGAAGCATTTGTTTGTTTATTAAATGCTTATCGAGCAGCATGCCACTATGGTGCTGAATCCATTGGCCTAAGGTTTCAGAATGCTGAGACATTCTGCAGCTTAGTAATGTCTGTTCTTTCCGAAGCAGATAATATACTTCGGGGACTTTTGGGGCTATCATCCTCCAGTTACAAGAAAGAAGCAGTACTAGAACTGAAGGATACCCCACAATGGGTTAATGTAAAGCCTCTCATCAAATCATACTTGAGGAGTACATTATCTCTGTTGGATCAGGTTACTGATTCAGAAATTCTGGCTTTCGCTTTGACTCGGCTCAGGGATTCTTTACCATTTTTTGCTGCTTTCCCATATCTCTTGCAGAGGCTCATTAAGGTACATTATCTTTAGCACTTGATTTGTATGAAGAGTCTTCTAGATGCGATTTGATGACATCTTATGCATATGCTATCCCAGATTGACTATTAAAATTGTTGAAGCACTTTTTCTTAATTAAAAATTTGATCTTATATGTATGCATTACTCGAGTCCATACACTTGCTGGTAAGCTACTAACGTAGTACTAGTGGAATTGCTAGTTTTGCTGTATTATTTTATTATAAACTTTTTTTTGCTTCTGTTTTTCCCATATATGATGTACGCTTTTGTGAATCAGACAAACAATATGTTAGCTGTATTTTTCATGCATATGCTGTTACCTCTTAGTGAATTCCTATAATATGTCATGTGATAATTGTTGTCCTAGCTGGACATTGTGCCGATATAAGTTGTATATTCTTGAAATGCGTATTTGATATTCTGGGATCAGTATTGCACGCCTGCATTGCATTTTATTGAAGCATAGCTCCTATTTTGACAATTGATGCGCGATGTAACATGGTCGTATGTAATAAGATCAACCCAACTAGGTTGAGGTCGAATCCACCAGGAATATGGAGAACTTTCAGAGATTACTATTTCATGAACCCCAATTCATTACCATTGTGGTTTTATTAGAGAGTTGCATATGTAATTATTTTACTACTAAAGACATACCTTGTAGAACTAATCCCCACATTAAAACATCATATGATTTGCAATTTTAAGTTATGTTAACATTGTGAATCTTCCCTGGTCTGTGATGCTAATACTACTTTTTCGTAGCTGAATATATGGTGATTCCTTTATTCTTGACCTTTATGTTGAAACAGACGACAATACATTTGTGGGCTACAGGTGGAGGGATGCTATCATCAGCATCTTTTTCGATCGTACTGGATGTGGCCTCTCTATTTACAACTGATTGTTTTGACAATTGCTTAGCAAAAGCTTTTGTGGCTTATCTTGCTCAGTCGAGAGCTACAGATATTGTCAATAACAAACATTTTCAGTTCCTAAGAAATTCCTTAGTTGACTTGTGCTCCCTAGATGTTCAAAAATCATTGTCTAAAGCCACCGTGTCTGTCCGTCAGCTTGCAAAAGTATTACAGTGGGGTTTGCGTACAAAGAAAAAGGTAACTAAAATTGCCCTGTGATTTTAATGATTAAGTAGGAATAATGTTGCTAAAAGTAGCTTCTTGACTAATTTTAATCATCTTGTGGTGCAGGAAGCTCTTCAAAGGATCTGCAGTTGGGAGTACGCCAATTGTATTAATCTCTGGGTTGGTTTTATAGCACGCAATGAACGGGATTATGATCTTCAGGCCTTTTTCTTCACTATGGTTCAACTTATAAATGGAGTGGTGCGCCTGTTTCCTGGACCGAGATATTTCCCTTTACGACTCAATTGCATTCAATGGCTTAATGATCTGTCTAATTCTACTGGAGTTTTCATCCCTATTACTTCATTTGTGTTGGATGTTTTGGAATATAAAACAGTCGGAGGGCGTGGAAAACCTGGACCTACTCTCTTCTTTCAATCTGTTCTAAAGGTTGGTTGATGTTAGGATTAACTTGACAATCTTGCAAATGAGTTTTCTCTATGTATTTATGTCACCATTTTAAATTGCAAATTAACATACTGCAGTTGCCAAAGAGTTGCTTGAAGTCTCAGACATTCCAAGATGAATGCATTACATCTGCAATTGAACAACTATCATCACACTTTTTACAATGGAGCTACCACATTTCTTTCCCTGAGCTAGCAACTGTTCCACTCATCCGTCTGAAAAAGTTTAATGAGTCAAAGACAAAGGAAAGTCTATGCCGTGCAGTAAAACATTTGATTGAGCAGGTACTCAACTTACCTTTGGTGTTTTTGATGGTTAGTTACCTAGTATAGCCATTTCCATCCAGAAACATGCATGGTGGATGCCGTTATTGTTAATTAAGAATATGATGGAGATGCAGCTTTAAACAGGATTTGTACCAAGTACCCAGCTGAAGGTCAATTATGTGTTGGACTTAATTAAAGCTCAAAGGCATCTCATGCAACCATCTTACTATCATTTGACTTGAGCACTTGTTTGAGATCATACATATTCAACATTTGCTTGACAGGGTTCCTTTGGTTCAAAAGTAGATTAAAATAATGGGTGTTGGACTATCGGTGCAAGTATAGAGGAGGATAGCATTGTGTTGTCCTTTACATAAGTATGAAAATAGAATATTCCTGTTTAGATAAAATGGTTAATGTGCACGGTCATTCTCATGTATTAAATTGCAAGGACTTGAAGTACATGGGAGATGATGATTTGGAAATCATAGAGTTCCTCTCCTTTGTCTGATAAGTCAGTTTGTGAATTTCATAGTTAAATGTTTCTTTTCATAATCTGGGATTGGACAAAGTTGTGCTTGTGCCTTGTGGCTAGAAAGGAAAAGAAAGCTTAGACAGATTTGCCAATTCAGTTTAGTTTGTGGATCCCTTTGTTCCTGTTTCTATTTAATATTCATGTGTTCAGAAGCAGTTTCTATCCTAACATCTCTCTCTTCCTCACATTCCACCCCTGCTGTCTTTGAGGCTTCTTTTAGTTTTCCTAGTTAGAATGGGCGAGGTATACTGGCTAAATAGTTGACACCGGTAAATAAGACAAGACCAAGATCCAAGCTATCAAATTTCTCAATAATATTTTTTCTTACCATCAGTTGTTTTTCTTACCATCAGTTGTTTTTCTTGTCTCGTTCTGAGTGCTTTCTTTTGTCTCTGCAGGTGGAGAAAAATGTTGATTCTGTGCAAAAGAAAAGAAATGAGGTTGCCTTTTCACCAAATGATCATCAATCTGTTGAAACATTCCTTCAGGTAGCACATTTCTTATCAACTAGTAACAGCTATATTTCATACTGGAGAAATATAGTTTATTTAATTTAAATATATGTTCAACCTGCAGTTTGAGAAGTCCAGTCTCAGTTCTCCATTTTCTCAGTACTACAGAAGTGTACTTGACAAGGCTGCTCTAAGGGGCTCACATAAGAATGAAAAGATTAGGTACTGTGACACTGCTGCAGTTTGGTTTAATTTCTTTTAGTAGTCTAATATGTAGGTGATTTTTGTCGTTTATTCACTGTGAGGACTGATAATAATGTTGTGGAACAACGGATGGCTACAGGGTATGGTTCATATTTAATGATCCCCCTGGGTATGTGGGTGAGATATTCTGTCGGGGGTTCCTCTGGAGTCCCTTATACATATCTTTGTCATTAACTATATTTGGATAAAGCAGTTTGCAGTTTGAACAACATTATCAGTTGGGGAGGGGGGTGGGGGGTGGACAACTCTATTAGTGAACTGGGGTATAACTATATGGGGTGAATGAGTCGCCCACCATATCTTGTTCCAGATATAGCAGCAGTTGAGTGTTATCTGGACTCAAGTTGCGATTATTATTCTAAGGGTGGTAGTTTTGATATAGATTGTGCTCATGGTAACTTTTTGTTTCAACTCCAAACATCAATGTGTTGTTTTAGTTTTACATTAAGCTAAGAATGTTTTGCAGTGCTACTTGTGGTGTACTAACTGTGTAAATTCTACTGCAGTTTGCCAAGACGAGATAAATCAAAGCGTAAAAGAGATGACAGTTTGATCAACGTTTCAGGCCACAAGGATCTGGATACTGTTAATGGAACAAAAAAGCGGGTCAAAAGACGAGCTCCGAAGGCATAATTGTTGTACCATTTTTTTGTGTGCTATAGGTTTTGATAATTTTCTAATTGGCCCCTACCAGGTTGGAAATTTTGAGCTGGGTAAACATGTTATGATATTCTTTAGCTGGGTAAAAATCAATTATGTTGTTGCTTATTTTTCAAAACAGAAAATAGAAAAAAGATTTTGCTCCTATTGAGGTCCTTGAATTGTTGATTGGTTTATTTTTATTTTTCATTTGTCTTTCCTAGTTAAATCAAATTGGAAAAGGTATACAAAATACACCCTATAACTAAATCATTTTTTTTCTTTTCCTTCTATTATTTTTTTTGTTTTTGGCTCACCTTTATTTAATTATTTTGTAGTTTTATGAAACTAAAAAAATTATCTATTTTATACATTTTGTACTTTTTAAAATAAAATTTATCCCTAGATTCAAGTGCAAAGGTTCAACAATTCCTTTCTCATATTTATTATTTTAAATTATATATATATATATATATGGTTTGAAATTTCTTGAGATATTCTATTACTCTTGTGTTAGAGGTAATACTTAGGGCTTGTTTGGATTGGCTTAAGGTAGCTTTTAAGTCGAAATAAAAAGTTGGGGGAGATCTACTTTTCATTTTAGACTTATTTTAAGTTATTTTTAACTATGCTAAACACTTCCTAACTTATTTAAGTTATTTTTATATTTGCCAAACACTTTAAGCCAATCCAAAAACCCTCTTAGTCCAAAGACTTTTAGAGAACAAGTTATGTCCCATGGGCAAGAGTTGATAGTCTTATTGTGTCTTGATTTATGAGATGCTCTATAACTCTTGTTTTAGAGGCCAAACTTAAATCAAGAACTTAACAAGTTGTGCCTATGTGCAAGACTTGACATTACTACATTGTGTCCTGATTTATGAGATACTCTATAATTATTGCCCTAGAGGTTACAACTTGTTAGACCAAGGACTTCCAAACAAGAAGTTAGGCCTCATGGGCAAGACTTGGCACTACCACATTATGTCTTGATTTATTAGATGCTTTATAGCTCTTGCCTCTATGGCAAGACTTAGCCAAGGACTTCAAAGAACAAGTTGTGTCTCATGGGCAACAATTTATATCATTACTAAGTTTAACTTATGGGAAACCCAATAACTTTTGTCTTAGATGCAAAACATAGCTCAGAGGCTAAAAAATAATAACATATGCCTCATAGGCAGTAGTTTACACTATTTCACTATGTCTAACTTATGAGATTCTAACTCTTTTCTTAGAGGAAAGACTTAGACCAAGAGCTTCAAAATAAAAAGTTACTTCATATATACGATCAATATATGAGATCTAATCTCAAAATTTGGTAGTCACACGTATAGATCTGATAGAATAAGTACAAGTTCTCAAAGTGGATCAAAATATACATACTTGTCTCAAAAGCAAAAGACTAGTCAAAGCTAAAAGCAGAAGGAGACAGGTTGATCCAAGATATCATAAGCTCACTCTCGCCTTTGAATATCCCTTTAGTAGGCTCGATATCAATGTTAGTGACTGGTGTTCGGACCTACATCACAAAAACATATGCAGAGTGTAGGTTGAGTACAAAAAACAAGTACCCGATAGGCATCATAGGACGACTGAGCTTGAAAGGTAAAGAAAATAAGGAAAAGCGAGAAATAACACCAACTAGAGGTCAAATGAGCGGAACTACAATGACAGTCTAACTGAAATGCACTCGAGTCTAAGAATGAAAGGTAAATAACTAGCTATAACCTAACTTCCCCCATAAGCTTAAAAGGTACACTCATTAAGCTTAAGAGTATTTCAGAACTACCACAACCGTCCATGGACTCGAACCGCGGTAAGGCACCCCAAAAATCTAATAGAACTACCAAGTCAGAATTTGAACTCGATTAATAAAGGTGTGCTAGGATTCGATTCAAGGCTAATAAGGTTGTGTCAGGGACTTGGATAGTGACTAAATATATACGCCAAGGCTTCGAACCCGGCTAATAGAATGCATGCCACGGCCTCGAACCTTGCTAAGAGATGATACACCAAAGCCTCGAATTGTGGCTAAAAGAATCCAAAAGCCCCCAATCACCTGCTCTTCCTAAAATTGGTCCATACCATAGAGAGAAACCATTTTTAGAGTCACTAGGGACCTGTCACGATCCGAGCCTACACCCTAAATATGGACGACACTCAAGAACTATTGTTGGTCCTTAAGCGAACCCTCATCATGGCCGACTACAAGCGGATGACTAACTCGAGCATACATAAACATCAAACTGAAAGAAATGCTAAATCAACAGTGTATTAAATCTCAAAACTCTCTGAATTTATTGAGTATTAAACATAAGTTTTACAGAAAACCTCTGAAACTGAAAGACTCTCCAAAAATGTCTATTTATGAAGCCTCTACCTACTGTACAAATGTGAGTGTCGGGACAAGACTCATGACTCCCCAAGAGAACTACTACTAACAACTCATAAAACTAGAGTCCTCCGGAAGCAAGGATGTCTCACTCAAAAGTTGACGAGCTGATGAAGTGATCTCGATAGACTCTTATTGAGGATCCTAAGGACTGGTATTTGCATCATTAAAAGATCACTAATTATACCTACTGAGAATATTGGTATCAACACCGTTGAGTTTTCTAAATTCCGAGTTCAGATGAAGGAGATATGGTTGTATGAGTGCATCCTGTCTAGTTAAGGAAATTAATCCATTTTAAAAAGGGGTATTTTGGTCTTTTTCGTACCCCACTAGTCTAAAACATTTTTCCCACCTAAGTTAAGGGGTCTAATCAGATCAAGTCAATTGAGATTCATTCTAAAGCGTTCAAGAAAGTTAGGGCAAAGTTCAAAAGGAGAAAATAAGAGGTTTCAAAGAGTTCTTCAAGATTTTGGGAAAACGCCAAGAACTGAGTTCTTTCGAGGTATGTAAGTTTTCATAGTGATGGGTTTGTTCACACACACACCAATCATGTGATTTTCATCCATAATTTTGATCTTGAGGTTGATTGATTTGAGCTCTTGAGAAGTTCTTGAGGTTTTGCATCATTCTTTAACAATGGAGTCTTGTTGAGTTCTTGAGGTGAGGGTGTTGAGAATGAGGATTGTTCTTGATGTAATTTGAGAGGGTTTTCGAGGAATTTTGTTGGGTTTGTTAATCTTTGGAGGTAAACCATTCAATTCTGGATGAGTTAGGCCTTGAATTGAAGCAAGAAACTTCGTCAAAATTTGGGTAGAGGGGTGGGGCACCATGCCAACATAGCGCCCGAACTATTGTTTCAGTAGTTTGGGGACTGGCGCACCGCGCCACTTAGTGTGCCCCAAACTTCCTACGGTTGTTTTGGGGCTGGCGCCTTGCGTCCTTCAGTGCGCCAAGGTCGCTAGTCCCCTACCCTTTCATCCTTTTTTCCATGTGTGTTCCCTCGTATTGTACCTAGTTTCTCTACTTGATATCCACACTTAAGATCTTTATTAATCATTGAGAGATCATTCATATCTTAGTAAAGATTAGGAGTAGAGTTCGACAAAGCCTTTTGAGTCCTTTTGAGTCATTTTGAGATGTCTTTTTACAATTTTCTATAACTTGTTTTAAGACTTGAGTAAATGAGTATAAGTTGAGTTTCAAATTTAAAAATGATTATAAGGGAACTAAGTATTCCCAAGTATGTAAACTTTTACATTTAAAATGAGAGAAACACTGATTTCTAAATGAGTTTATGAGGAGATTTTGAGTATTATCTCTTTTAAGAGAAACTTTTGAGTAATTATCTCAAACTAAGGAGGAGTTATGTTTCTAAACATTTGAGAATGAGTTATATATTATTGGGAGTAGTATTGAGCACCGATATGGGATGAGTTTAAACAAATTAAAATCCTCATAAACCATGTTTGTCAACATGGGTAAAAGATCATACGTTTTAGATGATTCTTTATTATTTTTAAGCATAGCTTAGTGGATCCACTTAGTTGAGGATGCCCTATACTCCGGCAAGGTATATGACAGTTCTGGCAGCATAGGTGAGACGTTGTATCATCACGTTACTCATAGTGATGGTTGTCGGTTAGAGAATCTCTCAAATAAGAGTAAAAAGTTTATTTATGTATTTTCATATACATTGAGTGATTATCCACTGTTTTAAAAGCTTTTTATGTATTGCATCTTATTATCATTTCTTTCATACTGAGTTGAGTTAAGTATTTCTGACTTGAGTTGAGTATTTCTGAATTGAGTTAAGTATTCCTGAGTTGAGTGAATGATTCTTGAGTTAGGTTGAGTTGAGTTGCGATGAGGTGAGTATGTCCTCCTTTCTATCAGTTCAGGCCTTATGTTATGTTACAGATTCCCCCCTACGTGCTCGTACATTCAATGTACTGACGCCATTTGGCTTGGATAGTTTCATGATGCAAATACAGGTTTAAAGATTAGCAACCGACGCTCAGTTGATCCGGTCACATTCGAGCTAGCTTTGGTGAGCCTCCTTGCTTCCGAAGGGATTCACATTTATATTTTAGTTTTGTTAGGATGTCGCGGGTCTTGTCTCGAATTTCATCATAGTATGTTAGAGGCTTCATAGACAATAGTAGTTGAGGAGACTTTTTCTCATTTCCCTTGTTGATGTTTTGAAGACTCTGAGTTGAACACTTATGTTCATTTGAGTATATATTGAGTTAAACTATTTTATTAATGATATCCTTATGAGTTGAAGTTGTGTATTGAGTTCCTATGTTGATGAGTAAGTCTTCCGCTGAGTATTCAGCCAGGACGAAGGTTCGCTTGGGGACTAGTGATGGTTCTCAAGTGCTGATCATGTCCAGGATGTAGGTTCGGGACGTGACATTCCTAATAAATAAGAAAAATAAAAGGTGCAAAGAAAAATCCGACAACAGAATATCCCTATATTTTAGCATGAAAGAAAGAGACTAGTAAAATCAATTACGTAAAATTTATTGATTGATGCTTTTTTAAAAATATAATATGATATAAGTTGTTTCCAAATGCACAGACAAGTGTACGTCGTCACAAGAGTAATAAAATGGCACTTTCAGAATCGAATTGTCGAACCCAAAGGATTTATGATCAATTTATATTCAATTCAACTAATTTCACAAATTAAAGAAAGTTTTTTCGATAAATTTTGTTTTCTATCTACACTACTTTTGCAAATAATTAACGCTTTAAAATTAACTAACAA